TCCATGTCTTATCTGAGATGGCTATACCATCTCATTCTCATGGATAAATGAATGCTACATGCCAAACACTTGTCGACATTTCCAATAGCAAGGGTGATACTTCCAATAATTGGATTCTAAAAAAAGGATTTAGGCAGAAGCACAATAGATTGCTATATATTTATTGCAAGTACATCAATGTGCATCTGAAAAGAAACATAACAAAATAATAAGGCAGGAGGGAAGGCTTTTAAGCATTGTTGCCAGGAAAAGTGACTCTTAGTCTTGGGTAGATAACCACTTTTGAGAGAAAACTTCCCAAGACCTCAGCTTTCTTGTCTACAAACTGAAAGTGGACTAGATTACTCTAAGGCTCTTTCTTTTTTCTGAAACCTCAAGTGACAATTTAATGTGAGCAGTGTTGTGTAATCTGCATTTTTAAGGATTTAGATGGAATTCTTACCTGTGACACTATTATTTGACCAATAAGCTTTCCCTCTTCTTTCTTGCTAAAAAAAAAAAAAAAAAAAAAAAAGTAGCTAATGTTTGCTTTTGGGAATGGGGCAGTATTGCACCCAGCACTTAAAGAAAATCATTTTCCCAGCATTCTTTGCAAGTAGATTTGGCCACATGATGTCGTGTACTTAGGCCCAAAGGGACCTAAGAAGAAGCTTCTGGGAACTCCAGAAAGATTTGATTTTCTGATAAAAATGATTGGCTAACTGGTGTCACAATTCTCTTTCCTCTCTCCTTAAATAAGGACATAAACTGAGGTAGCCATCTTGTGACTATGAGGTAGAATCATGTGCAGAATAAAACTGAGCAGCTATGAATATGTAGCTCCAGAATTATTATATGGCATAAATGAATCCCAGCTTCTTTAAGCCATTACAGCTGTCTTGCAACACTACTCTTTCCCTTGGAGCCTTGAAGGCCAATCTATGCAATCCCAGTAAATTGAAATTAACCTCTTTAGAATGAAGATGTTCATGTAAAAGGTTAAATATTTAGATTTTAATCTTTCTTGCTCTATAATCTTTCAAGTGGCAGTTTTTCTAAATATGTGTGAAGAAAATCAGAATATTTCATGACATTGACATGTATTTCAAGGCATCTACACTGTACACCTATTGGTCGTATGGCCAAGAGCAACTTAGTGTATAGGGTGATATTGATATGTTGCAAATTTCATACAGAAAGGTTATCTTGATAGAGTTTCAGATCTCTTTTTTCCACCACTACCATATGGAGGTCTTATTTTTCCATAGGAGGATAATATACTAAATCACAAGATGCTAGATATCTAATAATTACTCCCCAGAAAATGCTTAACTCACGGGAGCACATAGATAATGATGGAATCATATGTCTATGTAGAAGGGACTTTAGTTTTTTTGATGGCAGAGGGAGAGTTTTATTTAAGATCTCTTTATTTATTTTTCTTTTTAAATTAATTAATTTTTAAAATTCACCAATAAAAATTGTATATATTTATTGTGTACAACATGTTGTTTTGAAATATGTATATGTTGTGGAGTGGCTAAGTCGAGCTAATTGACATATACAGTACCTCACATACTCATTTCTTTTTGTGGTAAGAGCACTTAAAATCTACTCTCAGCAATTTTCAAGAATGCAATACGTTATTTTTAACTACAATCCTTCTACACTAGATCTTTTGACTTTATTCCTCCTATCCAACTGAAATTTGATATCTTTGACCAACAAGTCCCCAACTCAGCCCCTGGTAACCACTATTCTACTCTCTACTTCTATGAGTTCTTTAAGACCTCCTTAAATAATAAAGTAATATCCTGCAGGTGAAAATATATTCTACTTATACAGAGGCCAGCTTGGCATCTATAGTATAAGTTGATAAAGACCTATTTATAGGTTTTATTTTCACTGACAGAGGGAAAACTGAGAATATAGAATTATAGATAACACTAAATCATTTATACACATTTTTTGGAAGCAGTTAAGAATAAACATTTAGATACACACCCACACACATGCTGACATGCGGTTCGCACACACATACATTATACATTCATTTACCCATAAATCTCTTTTCAGTTTATTTTTATCGACGCTGACACATGGAAGGTGGCACCAGAGAGGGACAGATAACTGCTCCTTCACTATAAACAAAATATAGCAAGTAGCTAGTTTCTTGTCGATGAAACAAGTACACAAAGAATGTACCCACATAGGAAGCTATGGCACATTGCCTCATGCTTCATCATAGCCCCTGCTAGGTTGTCAGAAAGCCACACCCTGGATCTAGAGTAGCATAGCGTGAGGAAAACGCTGTGCTTCTGCGCAGACGCACTCCACGCCTCAGAAGAACATCCGGGCTTTCCCAAGCACGCAGTCGCGTATATGGAAACCGTTGATGTATGGGCTATCAATACTCAATGTGTTTACAGAGAGATCCCCAACTGGGACCTCCTGCTGGAGGAAATGCTAGATATGATCCAGGGCACAATGCATTTCAATTAAAGTAGAAAGGAGTTGCTATATCATGGAAAACAACAACAAGCTACAAGATGTGTCTAGAATGTAAAATTGGAAGACAAAATTATTGGTAATATTAGATGGTAGCTTTCTAGGTATAGGGTAACTTGGAACAGATCACGCTTCATTCCCTTTCTTACACTCAACATTTTTGTTCAAACGTAGGTGAGATCAGGTTAAAATAATAAAATAGTTAGCTGCTTTGTCAGGACAGAGGGAAAGAAAGAAGGGCTCAGCTTAAGGAGGTAGCACATAGCGTGGAGGGGCAAGGTGGAGGGAGGAGAGTAGCTCACCCATTTTGCCCTGGTGATATCCAAGGAGAGTGCCTAGGTGGTTGTGAATGAATGTTATGGGCATTTTAAGTGCATGGCCTCTCTTGGCAAACATAGTTTAAAACCATCTCTGGATTTTAACTCAAGAAGGAGATTCTACAAGTAGGGAATAGGGATTTGATTAGACCCCATTTCTTGACTGCCTCTAAATTGAAATTGACTCTTTGAGAGTTTGTAAAGCCATATCATTCTTTCTGTCATCACCATGTTTAGCTGCCATGGCTCTGTGACTTCTCTTTCAGCATTCTAGTCTAGCATAAACCTAAACCCTTCTTTTGTTTTTCCTCAACGTAGTTCACAGTTTCAAGAGAAGATAAAATAATGGGATGAGAATATTGTTGCCTAAAGCAGATACAAATAATGACATAATTAAAGAACATATCTTAAAAACTCCATGGAAATAGGAAAAACTTATAAGGTGTCTATGGGAAAAACCCAAACTCTGTAAAATAATTTAAAGAGGTTTTCTTCGGAGCCAAATATGTGTGACCATGGCCCAGAGAGCCACACCCAAGAAACCTTGAGCAGGTGGTCTCTTCCTGGTTGGTTTACAGTTGGGTTTTATACGTTTTAGGGAGAAAGGAATTACACAGAATCATAAATCAATATAAGGAAGGCATACATTGGTTTGGCCCCAAAAGGCAGGACATTTCAAAGTGGGGCATTACAGGTTATAGGTAGGTTTAAAGATTCTTTGATTTGCAATTGGTTAAAGAAATGAAGCTTCATCCAAAGGCTTGGAATGTTTTAAGTTAAGATTAGGAAGTCTGTTAATCAGAGACAAGCCACTGGACATTTATCAAAACTCAAGTGATTTGTTAAGTAAATTGATGACCTGCAGGTGCGACTTAAGCTTTGCCTTATATAGCCTTCGGCCAGTTAGTGAATTACAAAGGATATCTCCAAGCAGGGAAAGGGGTGAGAGGAGGCATGTCTGACTTCCCTTCTCATGGGCAGCAACTAAGCTTTAGGGTATTTTCCGGATCCTCTTGGACAAGAGGGAGTCCGTTCAGTCAGCGGGGGGCTTAAGATTATATTTGAGTTCACAAAGATATGAGGGGTTGTATTTTTGTTTGTTTTTTATCTTAAAATTACTATGTCATGACCTCTAAATAGCTAGATCTAGATCTACTCCACTGGTTTTGAATTCTTGGTCTCCTGATTCCTGATCTCCATAGAGTATGTAAATTTTCACTTGTCATTATTGGAATTGTGAACTCAAATAAAATCTTAAGTCACCCAGCTGACTGAATGGATCCCCTCTTGACCAAGGGGACCCAAGAAAAACCTTAAAGCTGAGTTGCCAGCCATAAGAAAGGAGGTCAGACATGCCTAGTTATGCCCTGCCTCTTTTGGAGTTATTCCAGGTAACAATAAGATACTAAATCATTAACAGGCCTATGGCCATGCAAGACAAAGGTTAAACCACAACTGCAGGTCATCAATTTACTTAACAGATCACTTGAGTCTTGGTAAATGTCCAGTAGCTTGTCTCTGATTAACAGACTTCCTTATCTCAACTTAAAACATTCCAAGCCTTTAGACAAAACTTCATTTATTTAACAAATTGCAAATCAAACCATCTTTAAATCTACCTGTAACCTGTAATTCCCTGCTTGGAGATGTCCTGCCTTTTTGGGCCAAACCAATGTACACCTTCCATGTACTGATTTATTAATATGACTGTATGTGTAATTCCTGTGTCCCTAAAATGTATAAAACCAACCTGTAATCCAACCACAGCAGGACCACTTGCTCAAGGCTTCTTGGGTGTAAATCTCCAGGACATGATAACACACATTTGGCTCAGAATAAACCTCTTTAAATTATTTTACAGAGTTTGAAGTCTTTTCCACTGACAGAATTATCTCCTAGCCATTTGCTCCTATTTTAGCGAAAACCCAAATATCTTATTTCGGTGCTCTAGTCCCCTTTGGGCATCCTCATTAAATTCCTTTTCATGGTGTTTTCATTGCTATTGACTGGTTTGTTTTCTTGGAAACCCTAATGCCATAACATCTACATCATGGAAAATAAGGGACAAATATCTCGACCATAACATATGTGTGATCTTATTGGATTTTGATCCAGTTGGTTCAGTTGTGAAATATGTTTATCAAATAAACTGAGATCATCAAAGAAAAGTAATTTAAAATTAATTCATTTTCTTACCTTGCTTGCATTTCTTGAAAACAGTGGAGGTCATTTATAGTATACGGCTTACCATTTTTACATTTTTTCTTCTCTAAAACCTCCTGCACATCACTCAGGTCTATTGACCTTTAAAAAAGTCTTGCCTGCCCCCCCACCTCTCTACCCCACCAAAATGCTTTTTCCTACTGCAAGTCCAAGTAGCTCTTCTCTTTCTGCTCCTCTCCCTCCTTTTATTCTGCATCACAAAGGCCTGAATGACCACTCTGGCAAAAGTGACAGAAGCCTCCTCAGCAAGCTGGCCATGGAGGGTAAGAAACAGAGAAGGTGAAACAACCAGAGTCTTTTTTAGTGGGCAGAAGAAGAGGGAAGTTTGAGAACTCTCAGATGTTAATAATTGTTGTTCTCCCCCATTTAGAATAAGAGAATAGATACTCAGCCTGGAAAGTTCAGTGTGTCTAGTCTTTTTTAAAGGGTAAATTGGCCAGGCCCCCTCCTTCAGTCCTTCGCTACCCACTAGCCCTGTCACTTACCTATGTCCCTCAATCCAGAGGCTAGGGCCTGGGTCCATCTCCGATCCTGGGATGGCCTAGTTTTAATTCTCTGAGCTGTTGGTATAGCAAAGCCATGGCCCTCATCTGTGGACTCATATCAATTAAAAGCCTTGAAAGTATCAACGGTAACCACAATTCCTTCAAGTTCATTATTAAACCCCCTTTTTCTCCATTATAAAAGAGAAAAATCTGTGTTGCCAATATGTTTTTGAGATGGTAGCTGGGTTTTTCAGGTGCTTTCTCTCCTAGGCATACTTAACACTGGCCTCAGATATGTGAATTTTACTTTAACATGGCTTTTAAGAAAGAACTATAGAGTTCAAAATAGCAAAAGCACATTTGAAATAGTTGCGGGAATTGAGAAGATACGATATTGGGAATGTTGGAAGTAAATTCTTTTTTGAAATTTTCAATACACTTTCTGGATCAACAAACCCCTTCCCCCCTTGACAAGAAACTCTATGGTTTGCAGGAATACACTGGTTTAATAAAATTGGCCTTCTTCCTTCTACTAAAAGTTTACCTGCGAGAGCCCCGAACATAATAAAATCAGATTATGAAGGCAATCATATTTACTTGTAATAAATCAAATCTTGCAGACATCAGTTAAGTCTCCCTACTGCACTGGGACAATATCATGCGTGCATACATCAATACCTGAGGTGTCAGAAATATATTTCATAAGTTCAGAAAAATTGCACATACACTTGCAGCACCATTATGAGCAGTGAATTTGTAATGTGAACATTATGATGTATAAAGTGGCTTTGTTCCTACATTTAATAAGCACCGCATGTCAAGCCCACAAACATAATGGAATTTGCTGGTGATTTCTTACCATTAAATGTAGGTTATTGTTTTCAGAAAGAAAAAAAAAAAGAATTTTTCCATGCTTTGCTAACATTATCCATTTCTAAGCACATAACTTCCCTCAATATAGTAGCAACCTCTTTAAATTAGTAAAAAAAATAAATAAATAAAACCAGACCCACCGCTGTGACATTAAATTAGGTTTGACTAAAATAACTGCTGGCCCCACTCTTTGTCTAGAATTAGCTACTACGAAAAGCGATGCCTTTTCTTTTCAAAGACATCTTTTTAAATGACAGCAGTCCCAAAACTCGCTGTCTTCCATACAGAGGTCCCAAAATAATACGGCATTTTTGGGGTAGCTTCATTGAACTTTCATGGCTCTTACCCCAACCCAGTACTCCAAGTTGTTAACTTATGTATACAGGTTACACAATGGAATTTGAAATTAAAACGTTAGATAATTTTGCAGCAGTAATTTGAAGAAGCTGGCACTTGCGGGTATTTAAGTGGTTTTAAATGATTTTGTAGGTTTATTATAAGAATGAATATATGCCCTGCTGTTGAAAATCTCTAAAAAAACAAAAAAAATGATTAGTGAGTGATAAAAATAAGTGTGGAATATCCTTCCCTTCATTTATTTTTTTCAAAACTATTTCCTCAGCTACCTGTGCTTGGGAGGTGGTGCTGGATTATGTTCTCTTAGTGGAGGAGGATGGTTAGAAATGTTGCAGGGACAAGAAGGGGCAACAGTAACATAGATAAATAAATCCTTGAGGGATCAATGTCTGAGGCAGGAGACAAGAACATTTCAGGCATACCTGATGATGCTTGGAAATGTGGGTTCTTCTAGGCAATGGGATCCCCCGTCAGCCAAGTTCATTGCTTATTACCTGTCTCAAGCACTGGCATCTGGAAAGATTTCACATATGCCTCATGAGCTTCTTTTTCTTTCTTTCCCCTTCTATTCCACATCTTCCCATCTGTTCTATTCTTTTCCATCCCACTTTATTTTTATTGGAGTACATGCTAGGTGCCTTGATTGTTTTAAGAACGATGTAAATTGTAATGATCCAGGAAGTCTCTATTTACACAGGGCTTAAGAGATAAAGAGGTAAGACGGTGATAGCACACAAAGGGGTCGTTGATAACACAAGCTCCTGGTAAGTGCTGAGTGAGTGTTTACTGACAACAGATGTGATTTATGAAAGGAGAGAGAATGTGGAACTGAGTGGTGGGTTTGAGTGGGGACTGTGAAGAGGGGTAGGTTTTATATTTGAACAGAAGACAGAGGGCGGGGGAGAAAAGCCTAGAAATATACTTTCCACTTTCTGGGAGGAAAGAAATTCATAACTGTTTAATTTTGCTCTTTAAATTTCGCCCAAAGAAATTTCAAGCACCTCTCTACAAAAGTTCTGAACTTTTTTACTTATCACAGAGCATTTTTAAATGGAACATTTCCCCCCTTTTGATGTCTTAGAAATAAGCATTTCCATTCACAGCTGGTCTTAAAGATGCTACTTCAAACACCACACAGTCTGGATCTCCGAAACAGGTTGGTATTTAAAGAGCCCCATGTTTTCTTGTTCATAACACTTAGGTCAGATACATATACAGTGGAAAAACAAAGTTCAGTGCTGCAAGGAACTGAAAAAACCAGTTTCATTGCTCTTAAAGCTTAAGGAAAAGGAAGAGGAGAGACTGACAGAACACAGAGAGAAAAAAGATAAGCCAACATGGCATTAACACTAAACTACATGCCAGCTTCGTGCCGAGTTTCTCATGTCTTTCGAACTCACGACTCTCTGAGGCAACTATTACGATGACCTCTGTAGCTATGGGCTGGGATGCAATACATAAAATAGAAAGAGGTCGCATGCTTCTAAGGGGCAGGACTGTGTTTCAAACCTGGGTCCGTCTGTTCCGAAGCCTGAATGATTAGCCACTGCATTCACTCCCTTGCTAATGAGACTATCAAGAATGGCAAGTGTATAATTTGTTGTTTTTTTTTTTTCATTTCCAAATTTATCTAATTTAATAAAATCTCAAGGATGGATGAGCTTCCAATCCTTTCCTTATTGCTAAATAGTTGATGGCACAAAAGCAGATTTTACTGGTGGATTTAATTTTCAATTAACCAATGAAAACTTTTTGGGTGACTGATAATTTTTTATTAGTAGCAAAGAATAAAATATCTTTAGCAAGCGGAATGTCTTCCTCATGTGAGTCAGGTTGCTGCTATGAGAATGTTTAAGCCCTCCCCAAATACCTATGTTAAAATCCTTACCCCCAAAGTAATGGTATTAGGAGGTGGCACCTTTGGCAGGTGATTAGGTCATGGAGACAGAGCCCTCATGAAGAGGATTAGTGCCATTATAAAAGAAACCCAATAGAAACCCCTGGACCCTTCTGCCATGTGAGGATAGAGTGAGAAGATGGCTGTCTGTGAAGAAACAGGGCCCTCACCAGACACTGACTCTCCTGGCACCTTGATCCTGGAGCTCCCAGCCTCTAGATCTGTGAGAAATTAAGTTTCTATCGTTTACCAGCCAACTTGTCTATAAGACAGGAGCTGAGAATGACTAGGTTGGTTTCTTAATTATCTTCATGCGTATTATCAAATATTGAACACTGAGTATGGGATTTGGCGAGCAGAAGCAAGGCGGTGCCATGTTGCAGCTTGCACATTACTATTTATCTGCTGTCGCCCCTCCTTGGTGTGGACAGGAGACAGGCTGGTGACTGCCCCATCGTTCCCTGGGTCCTCCTGCAGCTTCTCTGACTCCTGTACCAGGTGAGTACTTAGCTCCATGATGAGGTGTATCATCGTCTCCTGCAGGATTCCCACAATATCAAGGTCAGAAGCAATGAGGACTGACATGGCTTCAGTCCATGCCTGTGGGTTCCAGCCTCTGCTTGTGTGTTGCAGCTTGTCCTTGCTCTCTTCTACTATTAGAGTAGAATTGTGTCCCTTAAGAAAGATGTGCTGAGATCCTTACTCCTGGTATCACAGAATGTGACGTTATTTGGAAATGAAATCTTTACAGGAGTAATCAAGTTAACATGAGGTCATATGACCTCATCCAATTGGATGGGGTCTAATCAAATATGACTGGTGTCCTTATGAAAAGGGAAAGTTTGGACATAAAGATGTGCACAGAGAGAAGACAATGTGAAGAGACACAGGGAGAATGCCCTGTGAGGTGGAGGACCGGAATGCATCTACAAGCCAAGGGCTGCCAAAGATCGCTGGTGGGGTGCGTGGAACTGATCTCTCATAGCCCTCGGAAGGAACCAATTCTGCCAGCCGACACCTTGATTTTGGACTTCGAGCCTCCACACTTGTGAGACAATACATTTTTGTTATTTGAAACCACCTAGTTTGTGATACTTTGTTTTGGCAGCCCTTTGGATTTCGAGCTTCTGTACCAGATGCCATGACAACAGCGTTATAAAGATTACTTAATCAACCTCCACAAATTGTATAAGATCAAGTCCCTGCAGTAATTCTCTAGTGGCTCTACTTCTCTGATTGAGCCCCGACTGATAGGCAGAAAAGAAATTAGTTTAAAAGGAACCACAAAGCTCCAAGCACAGTTGCACAGTAGGTAATTTAAGGGTAACAAGAAGAGGAACACTATTATGACGTTAGCAAACAGAATAAACCTAAATCTTAATCAGTGCAAAACACTGACAGCTTACAACAAAAGTTCTTCTTTTTCTTCTAAACACCCTGGCTATGCTATTAAAACTTGTTAGTTTATTGATGTTGCCTGTGTTTTCACTGTTCAAAAGCAAT